CACTTTGCAGATTGGTTTTTTCTACATGGATTTTGATCTGATCTCAAAATCCATTGATAAGGCAAAGAAGTAAGCTCTATCTTTGTCTGTAGTTCCAAACTGTCATTTGGCACACAGAGTTAGTGATGATATTTTACCATGTATTTTACTGGATGTAGCTTGTTTGAGGAAGGAGGCGATTGGGAGAGGAAGAACAGGTTGAAAGTATATGAAGGCTTGTACTGCATGGCAACCAGAAACTTCAAGAAAGCTGCCAGCTTATTTTTAGACTCTATTTCGACTTTCACAACTTATGAGTTATTCCCATATGATACGTTCATCTTCTATACAGTCCTCACAAGTATCATCACATTGGATCGTGTATCTCTGAAACAAAAGGTATTTCAACTTTGTCTACTCTGCTATGTTCCTGATCATCATATCATGGTTTCCTCGATAACAAGAAATTTTATAGGTGGTAGATGCACCAGAAATCCTGGCTGTGATTGGCAAAGTACCTCACCTCTCTGAGTTTCTCAACTCCCTGTACAACTGCCAGTACAAGTCATTTTTTGTTGCATTTTGTAAGTTCAGATATTTAAATAACTTGTCCATACTCCTGCAGTATTATAAGGTTACTGTTGGTACATTTTGTGGCTTGTATTGATATGGTCTATAATTATTTCCAGCCGGTCTGACAGAGCAAATCAAGTTAGATCGTTATCTTCAGCCTCATTTCCGCTACTACATGAGGGAAGTGCGCACCGTTGTCTACTCACAATTCTTGGAGTCATACAAGAGTGTGACAATGGAAGCAATGGCCACTGCATTCGGTGTAACTGTTGATTTCATTGACCAGTACGTGATTCTGTCGTTGCAATTCCCATGAACGACAATTTGGTTTTCTCATACTGTGTTATAAAGTCTTCCTTCCACTTGTTGTAGGGAACTGTCACGGTTTATTGCAGCTGGGAAGCTTCACTGCAAGATTGATAAGGTTGCTGGTGTCCTGGAGACCAACCGACCTGATGAGAGGAATGCTTTCTACCAGGCGACCATCAAGCAAGGGGACTTCTTGCTGAACCGCATACAGAAGCTTTCACGGGTCATTGACCTGTAAGGACTGTTTGTGTTGGAGCTCTTCCTGCAATCAGTGCCCTGCAAATGTTTCCCACCCTACAAGGGTTGCTCAACTTATTCACCACGGCTTCCACAAGACATGAGCATTGCTCAATTTGCTCTCCTTGAGTGGGGAACAAGTCCCTAAGAATACTTGTGTTTTAAGCGCGACTTTGGTACATGTATCCCAAGAGTTTATAGAATGGGGAAAGCGCAGATCAATTCCATGAACGTTTCATTTATCGTAGACGCTGTCCTGTCATTTCAAGTCTCATATCTGTGACTGTCTGTGAATTGCTTCCTTAAATTACAGTTTGACAGTCTGGTGCCCTTTTGACCTACATAATGTGTTTTGATATGCAACACGTAAAGAGAGATCAGTTGAATACGATGCAATTCATAATTCATATCCACACTGTGCAACCACACTCACTTTTAAACTTCCAAGAAATCAAATCAGTATATAGTTGAACTCTCTATTTTAAATTATAGGTTGTTTTGGTTTCTTTAGATGGAAGTATAATAACTATATATCTAATGGCATATAATTTAGGATGGAGGGAGTAACCTTCAATCCTTACCTAATTTGTGAAATTTAGTGAGAAGGCGTAACACATGTTAGTCGCAAGGAAGTTACACATTGTCTCTCTGCAAAAAATTATAAGCTGGAGAAATTACAGAGCAGCTCTAGGACATGGATAGCGAAACTGCAGCCGATGCTTTACTTGTCTGACAATGTGCTGAGTGACTGAATCATTTCTCCGTCTCTGAAAGATGTAAACGGGAAATCACGTGATTAGACTGGCTACATGGAGGATGAAGATGGGGTTTAAACAAGTGACACTGCATTAGTGAAGCAGTCTCAGCGTACTTACTGAGGCCCTGCTTCGACTTGCGCTGCTTCTTTCGTCTCTTGGAGTGGAACTTGTGTTTGCTTCTGCTTCCTCTTCCCCTTTGCTGACAGCAGACCCTGTTATCTGCGCAAAGGATTCTTTGGCGCCAGCAGTTACATCGCCAAAGAAGTACTTCACCTTGTCAATCACAGTTTTGAGCTCGTCTTTCTTGGAAACTGACTGTTGAGATAAGTAATCTTTACTATTAAGCACTAGCTAGGATGCTCAAAACATGTTTACCGAAAATATAAACATTTGCTACCCAACTCCGCTTGAAAGCAAAGGTCATTTTAGTTTTGTCCCAAGTCGAATTTCTCAACTTTTACTGAGTTTATAATAAAAAATATATGAACATCTACTATACCAATAAATGCACTATCAAGATATATTTGATGGCGGATTTAATGAAACTATTTTGACACTGTAGATGTTGGTGTACTTTTCATAAACTTAATCAAAGTTAGAAAATTTTGACTTAGGACAAAACTAAAAATGATCTAAATTTTGGAAGGAAGGAGTATTGAATAGGAGTAAGCAATTTCCATCCTCATGTGGAGCTTAGTTCTTCGTTGAAGAACTATCCAGGACACTGGACACTATGTCTTGAGCAGTAGTATGCGATAATAACTGAGTGTAATTTCTTAGGAATTAGCTTAGGGCCTGTTTGTTTCCGGGAGTGGGTAACGCGCGGCGCGTTTGAGCGAACGCAGCTCCGGGGCCGCGTTCGAGATTTCCCACAGTCCAGTTCAACTTTTCGCGTTTCGTGTCGCGGGCGGCCGGCCAACGCGCGTCGGACGCGGAGCGTTTGGCGAGCTGTTTTCGCGTTTGCCGCTCAAACGCGCCGCAGACGCGGAAACAAACAGGCCCTTAGGGAAAAAGCAGGATCAAAATCGAGAAGTACTGCTAATGGGGTTTCAACTAGAATACTGTCTAATGTAGGATATGCTCCCTCCATTCCAAATTCCAAATTGTAAATCGGTCTAGCTTTTATAGATACATTGCTTTTGCTACGTACATAGATATATAATATTGTCTCTATACGTAGTAAAATCTATGTATCTAGAAAAATCAGAACGACTTGCAATTTGAAATGGAAGGGGTTGCACCTTTCGTGATACAACTTGAAGTCTCTAGGTAACTATATATTATTTATGACGAAAGGATACATTCTCACATGATATAAATTTCACTCCGAAACTGATAGATAACATATGTTATTACAGTCTTAATAACATAGCAAAAACAGAAAAGGAAAGCAACATCAGCATACGGGAACCCCACACTAAACTCGGGGTTTCCAAGCTGTCATAACATAAAGGAAAGCATCAGCAAGACCACAGAACGAATTAATCTGACAACAACCAGTCACCAATCTAGGTTTTGAGACATTCTGAGTTCTCTCGACACCATCATGCATAACTTCTTCTTTTTCCTCTTTCTGCAACAAAGACCACATATATCAATCTAATGAGTAATAATTAATATAACACAAAGGAACTTTCCAAATAGCCCATGGAACCAAGGCAAGTCCAACATAAACAAACATCAGGTTCTTGAGGAAACAACTCAACCACGGACGCATCATTTGAGAAATGTTATCCGGCGCACTTTTTAGACCAAGAGAACATTGTAATACTCTGCCCCCGAACAAGACCAAAAAAGACCGGTAGTTTCATTTGCAACAGAATACATGCATCTTTTTTTAGTGTACAAAACAGGCAACTAGGATGACCTATTTACAACGCTTTGTTGCTACATTATCTTTAGAAAGAATGTTGTTCACTAATATTAGCCAGGTAGACCTTTAATCTTCCATGGTATCTTGATTTTCAATAAACAAAGATTGTGGAAAGGCAAAAACTACATTTTTAGGAACCTACACATTGACAGAGAGATTACTCAACCATAACTCGTAAGTAGAACTAAACAAAATTGCAGAATCAACACGAATAGACAACAAGGGGTTACATAAACCCTGAAATGATTGCTCTAATAAAACCTGATGCAAGAAATTGCTAAATTTTACCACAACCAAGTAAGATTATACACCCAAGAAAATTGAGTTGAAAAATGTGAATTATTTATGTAGCCATCTTCCAAAAAAAACGAGTGTTCTCCCATTTCCTAAGACAGAGGGTGAAATAATCTCTTTACTTCATCAATGTTTAGATATTTCCATAAATGTGAACAACCTTTTTTTTCTAGAAATAACTAAAGTCAGGGGTCAATTATTCAGATATTTCCTCCTGAGCAATTTACAATATGGTATCCGTGAAGTCATTATGTAAAACAACGAAGAAATGTCTTAGCCAAAGAAAAGAAATCACGTGCAGCTCATGCATGGACCTAGAGGATTATGCACCCGTAATCTAACAGACTGACAGCGACGGAGGATGTGCATAGTTTTATCACCCAAGATAACAATGATCAGAAATATCGGCAACGTACTTGACATGTTGCGTTTTTAAAAGATATATTAAAACCAAGAAGCGTATCCCATGCATTGCTACCGGAATTGCGGATGATTTATAAACAATTATACTACATATAATTACCTATATAAAGTGATAAACTATTAAAAATTAATGTCAATAGATGACGTGGCACGCTAATGTGGACAACAAAATGCATGTTAGTTGGTGATATGTCTCGTTGACTTAAATATCACGATTGCACGTGGTAGACAGCTTGCATGTGAAGATTGAATGTTAGTGGGGTTTATAGGATTATAATAAGGGATATAATTACACCGCCAGAAAATGAGCAGCAATAAGGAAGAAATTAAATCAAATAAGCCCCCGTTCCTAATTTGCAGTAAACGAATCAAATAACAGTACGTAGAACAAAATAGTCAGTCACTTACCTCATTGTCTGTGGGCTGCCACCACCCTAAGCTCAATAAGTTTCCCGTGTACACACTGAATGCACAGCAACGGCCCATCTCTGCCACAGTCGAGAAAGATTTGGCTCTTGGATCGTGAAATTCCAACGTCTGCAAACTAAGGGCTATTACGACTGAATGCAGCAACGGCCCATCTCTGCCACAGTCGCACATGTGGTTATTACGACTATCGTCCCATCGTCTAACACAACTAAGGGCTGAAAATACCCGGGCAATCGTTCCATCGTCAACTGTACCATGCTATACTGCTTGACCCAGAGGCTCTTCTCCGAATCCATGAGAAACCAAAGATCCATATTGGTCTCGGGAGACGGGCCATGGACGATAACCAATGAGCCATTCAGGTTGGCCAAGGAGAACCTCAAGAACTTGGGTGGAGCTGCTGGGTTATCGATAAAGACGAAGCCTTGTTGGGGCGGGCCCTTGATATTCGGCAGCCATTTTTCTGTCTCGAGGTCAAACGAGTATATCCAGTCTCGCTGGACGTCTGGGTTCTTGTTCCTGACACCAAAATATACGGCCGCGATCAACAAGTAGACGACTCCACCAATGGCCACGCCCGTCCCTCGAGTCTGGCAAAAGGTGTCCGGAGGGCCCTGCACCGCTCTCCACCGCGGACGGCCGCCGCCGCCGCTGAGGGTGCACACCTCGTACAGGAACCCGTACTCGCCGACGTGTGACCGAGTGACCTTCCGGAGCGCCTTGTGTTAATTACTTTGGATCATCTAGGTGCGGATCCAGTGGGTGATTTCTTTATCAATTGAATCAAATACATCTATAGCTTTTTTTGGGAGTAGGAGACAGAGAGAGTAGGAGCATCGATCTATCGGAGGAGCTCTTTGCCTTCGCTGGTTCGTCGATGAAGATCTGCACACGGCAGCGACGATCGGAGTAGCGGTGAAGACCGGCGGTGGCGCAGTGCAGTGGCGGCGGCGGTGCTTTCCGTCACTGGCTGCGCCCTTTGTTAGATCGGAGTAGGGTTTCTAGGTGGGCGTACGGCTCAGGCGAACCTCGTACTAAGAGCCGCCGACCCCACCTCTATTTAATGCGCAGTGTGACGGGGGCCCGTCAGCCATAGATGGACTGGGCGCCCCCGATCAGGGCGCGAGGTCAAGGCCCAAGTAGCCGTTGGGCTACTATGATTAGGAGATCAAACCAACATTCTCTCCCTTGATCTCAACTCATACTTTAACTTTAAACTTTAACTTTAATCCTTTTCACTTTTATTTGTTCCATCACAGATTAGTGCATAGAGCATGCTTCATCGTCACGGTCAATCGCCGATAGACTTAACAGCTATAATACACATCTCTATTCTGAAACATATTCTTTAACTTTGAGCCCTTTATTGTTCAAAAATCATAGGCTATACCATAAACCCATGTCGACCGTGTGTTCTTCAAACACACTGGGTGGTAAGCCTTTTGTACGTGGATCCGCAAGCACTTGCTTGTTACTTATATGTTCAATACTTTTAGTATGATTTCAGACTTTCTCCTTCACAACGTACAACTTTAACGTCAATGTGTTTGGCAGCACACTTGACCCGTTGTTATAGGAGCGAACTACTTAAATGTTTATTGATGTTGTATACCATTATCAATTCCGGGTGTAAGTTCTTTTAACCACTTCGCATGTCCTTAAGCCTCATAACAAGCTATATCATGGTTATGCATCTTTGATGACACCATAACTGTTTCTGTGGAGCTTTTCCACAATAAAACTCCAACTGCGAGTGTTAGCTACTATGTAGGTTTCACTAAACATCTCGCCAAAATTTAACTTTTGTACCCACAACTATTTGAGAGTACTTATTCTTTCTTGCTCACCATGAGGCCTATAAATCTTTGCACAATTGCAAAACATTCTCAACTCCATTCCAGTGATCTACATCTGGACTGGACTTCTGCCAAAACATCCCGGATACATAAACTGTGTAAGGATAAGTTTTGCTTATAAGCATTCAGTAAGCTTCCAACAGCTGAAGCATATAGGACGTCCATTTGATCGATCTCACATTTATTCTTGGAACACTGAAAGTTCCAAAAACTATTACCCTTGACTATATACTTTATTTCTTTAGAATCTTCTCTAAGTATACATTTGAGATAGTTCTAATGCCCATTTTCCTTTTATCTCGGTAAGTTCCAATTCCTAAAACAAATGATGCTTTACCAAGACCATTTTCATTGAAACTTGAGGACAAGAACTGCTTCTTCTCCAACAGTAGATTAACACCACTACTAGCGAGTAAGGTGCTATCCACATGCAGGATTAGGAAAATAAATTTCCCATGTTTAAACTTTGCATAAATACAATTGTCCTCTACATTCTCTTTAAAACCCAAACTTTCTTATTATACTGTCAAACTTCAAGAATCACTGTCTTGAAGCTTGCTTTAATCCATAAATGGATTTCTTTAGACAACATCCCTTTACGTTCTTTTTCTTCCATGACAAAACCTTTTGAGTTATGTCATGTAAACTTTTCCATACAAATCCCCGTTGAGGAATGTGTCTTTACATCCTTCTGATGTAACTGTAAATTGTAATGTGCCACTAATACCATTATGATTTTAAAAGAATCCTTACATGCTCATTATAATCTATTCATTCTCTTTATATAAATCATTTCACCACAAGTGGCGCTTTATAGCTTTCCATATTCCCTTTGGATATCTTTCTATATTTTCTTTGAGTCACATTTGTCTTGTAGACCCATTATAGCCTACTGTTTTGGCTCCATTAGGAATTTCTTCTAAATCCCAAACATCGTTGGTATTTATCGATTTTATTTCATATTCCTTTGCTTCTTGCCATTTAGATGAGTGAACGTCTATCATGGCTTCTTCAAATGAGGTGGAATCACTCTCTATTTGAATTTCTTTCTTAACTTTTACTTCTTAGTCACCAGTAATATCTGATTTTCTTATTTTTGAGACCTTCTAGAGCCTCGTGGCACTTCTTTCATATGGGGATATCGTTACTTTTTACTGCCAAAAGGCAATTGTTCTATAGCCTCCTGTATCACAAGATCCTTGTTTACTTATTCATCCTCTTTAAGAGCTAACATCTGGTGTTGTATATGTCATACAACATTAGCATGTATGAAGCAATTTGTTGCTCTAATAAACACTGTAGTGGATATGTAATCCCACTTCTATTCAAGCCTTAGGTATCTATATATCATGCTCCCCTAGATTACTCCATCTTCTGTAAAGATGGTGTATCTTCAAATTTCTTATTTTGGGTTTAATCTGCTAAAAACTCATACGGCGCATTTAGCACCGCCTTGATAACTCTGAACTCGTCCAGTATGAATTCTAGCCGACTATGCTATCTTCCCATCGGAACTATAAAAAAATCCAGGAATTTAGCTATTTCTTTACTTTAGGGGTATCATTATTATGACCGTCTTACTCCCTCAACGATCACATTCATCTTTTATAGATCACTTTTACCTTCAATGCATAGTATGCATTGCATTATCTGAAGTATGGGAAAGTATCTTTCTTAATTGTCTTTCTTAATTAATCTTACATTTCTCCCCCTCGAAATGTGGTATGAACTTTTCTACCACAATTTTGAAACATTCAGAACTCTTGTGAATGAGGAAACTTTGATTACTTACTTTATTCACATGATTACATCATGCAAACAAAATTCGTATAGGAGTACATTTTCCTCATTACACTTCAAAACTCAACATAGTCTATTATTATCAATACTTCTGCAAGTCACACTTGCATATCATTCTTATCTTTTGGTTCACATGCAACTTTCTTTTATTCTTAAACTCGTTGAGTACTTAATGACCATGACACAATCAGAGTGTACGGTCCATACTAGGATAGCATAAGAGCTATCACAAACTTCTCTCCATGTGCGGGATATTTCTTTAGAGCACATGAGTCATCACATCCTCCTCCCGCCATGCGGGATAAGTACTATGCCAAACTCTCCCGCCATGCAGGATTAGTTAACATATGTACTATACCAACTTTATCCCGCCATACGGGTATTTTCTCAAACTTTTTCCCGCCATGCGAGATATTCCTTTGAACGGACATAATTGCCAGGATTGGCTCGTGTTCAATCATCAAATTCAGAAATAAATCCGAATATTCTTTTAACACACATGTTTAATCCAATGTTAGTCAAATTAAACATGTATATGACTTTTACAACTCTCATAAGTGAAACTGAAAATAAATTCTTCTCCACAGAGAGTACATAAAAGACATTTTTCAACGAAGACTCTCATTGATCTATCTCTTTTCTTGGATCAATATCCTAGAATTCTTTTCTTTTGAGGTCATTCTTTAAAGAGAACACAGTCCCTTAACCAATGGCATTCTTTCATACATTAACTTGCCCTTAGGCATTTCATCATCTGAGTCACAAGTACCCAGCTTAATTCTCTTTCTGCCTTCAAGAATGAAAGCATGGAGGTCTTTTGTCTGAAAAATATTCAACAATAATGCTCATTAAACTTTGAAAACTTTATGTTCTATTCTATATCATCGTTGGGCAGAAATAGAATAAAACATCATTCTTCTACATTAATTCTACATCACCGTTGGGCAGAAATGGAATTAACGTATAGAAATTCAATAATCTTGAAAACATAGAATTGCTCCTCAAAATTAAATTCTCCCGTTGGTTCGAATTTAATTAGAAGACAATCAACTTTATTACAGCGGAAACATGAAAATACTTTCTCTAGTTTAAGAGCATTCCTTGATCTTTATCTATTCTCTGAAAAATTGGTCACTTTGATGCAATATTTATCAGAGATTTAAACTTTAAACATAAAACTCATAGAATTATAATATTGTTATCATCAACGTTGGTCAGAAAATAACAATACCATAATTTAACTTTAAACTTAAACTCATAAATAAACTTATAATATTGTTATCATCAACGTTGGTCAGAAAATAACAATATTATAATTTATCTTAACTATCAACCGACTATTCCTCCAATTAAAATTTTTCAGCTGATTCTAATTTTAACTGGAGGATAAACTTTTCATCATTTACTGAATAACTATAACTGCTCTTCAAATTAGAAGACAATAAACCTTTAACTTTACAGCGGAAACTTGACAAAATTTCTTTATCTACTTTTCAGAAGCATTTTACTATATTTTTCTACTCTCTGGAAAATCTAACATGTTGGTGCAATTTTACCAGAAATTTAAACCTTCAAAATCATTTAAATCTGCTTCTGAAAATGATAAAACAAAAAACCATGAGCTACCCTTTAATTCTATTCTTTTGGCCCACCTCAGAAAAGTGGCCTGCGGCCCATTTGCGCGCGGCTTTGCCACGGCCCAGCTCTGTGCGCTCCGCGCTCGGCCCGTGGGCTAGCAGCACAGCAGCAGCAGCGCAGACGCGGCCCGTGGCTCAGCACCCGGAGCGCAACGCTCGCTCTCCCACGCCTAGGCCACAACCTGGGCCTGGGCCGGGAATTCGTCGCCCCGCCTGGGCCTCATTCAGCCCGGCGAATTGTGGCCATTCATTTTGATTAGACGGCCATGCGCGACTTCCACGGGATCAAAACCCCGCCCGCCGGTCGCCCCTCCCCAAACCCTAGCTCATTTTGTTCTTCCTTTCTCTCCCTCCGCTCTTCTCACGCCACCGACAAGCCGCCGCAAGGGAGCTCGACGTACCGGTGCCAGGAAAGGAGCGTTCGGCGGGAGAGGATGGCGCCGCCGTGAGGCCCTTCGCCGGTGCACACGTGCGGCTGCGCGCGGCCCCATCGAATGGCCTTGCGACCGGCGCCCTTTTGGTTCGAGTACGTGCGCGCGCGAGCACAAGACAGCAGCGGCGCGGCTCCCTGATCTGGACTGGCGGCGAGCTCGCATAGGAGATCGGCAGCGCCGTCGGGCCTCTTTCTCCCCGTGCGATGGCGGTTGCGACGGCGACGAGAGAACCAGGTAGGTCCCTCCCCTACGTCCATCTCTCTGTGTTCATTTAGGGTTAGGGTTAGGGTTACGGGTACCCCTCCCCTTTCTCTCTATTCTTTGTTTTTTATTCGGAAAAACCCTAGATCTACACCCTAGGGTGGCGAACTGCCAGGGTTAGGGTTCTTTAGGAGGGTAATCCGAATCGAATTCGAATCCCCTTCTTTCTTTTCCTTTCTATCACCCGATTAGGGTTTAGGGTTCGATGAACCCTCTGTAATTCTTTTCTTTCGATCCGAACCGGATATAACCTATCTTTTCTTTTCTAATCGGTTTCTCGCCCCTGACAAGATCCACGCCTAGGGAAACCGGCTCTGGTACCATTGTTAATTACTTTGGATCATCTAGGTGCGGATCCAGTGGGTGATTTCTTTATCAGTTGAATCAAATACACCTATAGCTTCCTTTGGGAGTAGGAGACAGAGAGAGAGTAGGAGCATCTGACCGTCGGAGGAGCTCCCTTCCTTCGCTGGTTCGTTGATAAAGATCTGCACACGGCAGCGACGGTCGGAGTAGCGGTGAAGACCGGTGGTGGCGCAGTGCAGTGGCGACGGCGGTGCTTCCCGTCACTGGCTGCGCCCCTCTATTAAATCGGAGTAGGGTTTCTAGGTGGGGCGTATGGCTCAGGCGAACCTCATACTGAGAGCCACCGACCCCACCTCTATTTAATATGCAGTGTGACGAGGGCCCGTCAGCCATAGATGGACTGGGCGCCCCCGATCAGGGCGCGAGGTCAAGGCCCAAGTGGCCGTTGGGCCACTGTGGTTGGGAGATCAAACCAACACCTTGTGCTCCCCCGTGCTCGCCACCTGCCCGAACAGATGGATGCCGTTGTCGCAGAAGATCGGGTCCTCTCCGTCCCGTACGTAGTAGCGCATAGCTGCGGCGGCGGCGTCAGTCGTGTTGTACGTAGCTGGGTCGAGCAGTCTGCAGGTGCCATCGGCGATGCTCCTGACGCAGGCGAGGTTGAGGGGCATGCTCATGACCCTGTGCCCGTCCATGCGCACCTGCTTCACGATGCGCCCGGATAGATCCATGATGTTGGCGACGCTGCCGGGGACGTGGCGGCCCTCGGCTTCGGAGGCGTTGGAGTAGAAGCCGGTGATGATAAGCGGTGGCTCCGGCGGTCTCGGCCACGGGCGGCGTGCGCGACGGCAAACTACGGGTCCGAGAGGAGGGACCGCCAGAACCGGCAGGCACAGCAGGATCTCGTACAAGGCATCCAGTGGCAGATCGCCGGCGTTGGACGCGGCGACAACGGCCACGTCGCAGCGCCCGTTCAGCCTCCCAGTGCACGGCTTCGGCGGCGACATGCTTGACCCTGACTGACGATTCTGCACGCACAGGCACACACAAAAAGAAGATTATTCTTCTCGTCCTCGTGGTGCATAGTTAAGCCCCTTGTGCTTGTGAGGGGGAGCGCATCATAGTGCCAGCTTATATGTTACTCCATCCATCCCAAATTGTAAGACGTTTGACTTTTTTAGCCCCAAGTTTGACCACTCGTCTTATTCAAAAAATTTGTGCAAATATAGTCAAATTTAAGTCATTCTTGAAGAATTTTTATTAATAAACCAAACCACGATGAAAAAAGTGATATTTTACACAAATTTTTGAATAAGACGAATGGTCAAATTTGGTGTCAAAAAAAGTCAAACGTCTTACAATTTGGGATGGATTGAGTAGATATGAGCCAAGTTTAAGAATTGACTCTCTAGGTCCAAGTGCCAGCTTACCATACCAGAGGATCTTGATGTATGGATTATTTCGGCGGCGGAGCTAGCTTTCTGGAGAAGATCCGCCGCTCTTTCCGGTGTATATATCTCGATCCGTCGGAGCGAGGAGCTGATGTACCGGGTCGGAGTACGGTCGTGCCGAGGGATACGATTACACGAGCTATATATGACCCCAGGAGCCAGGTCCGTGGTCACCACTCAACCACGCCGTGGTTAGTGCGAGAAGGACTTCTCTCCGAGCGACCGAGCCAGGGACCCGTTTGTCACCGGCTACCATGAAAGCAACTTGGCTTGCGGAGATTATTTTAAAATTTATATAGCAAGAAGCAGACTCTAATAAATGTCTAATAAATGTGCTATCTGATTTTGTAAAATAGAAAACTGGCTATTCTTTAATTTTCGATGGCCATATATAGCCAACCACGGACACATGCTACCTAACTTTGTAAAATAGCAAGACTGTTGTGGACATCTTCTTTTTTGAGAAAATTTCTATTTTACAAAACAGGGCTTTTTCTTTGCACTACCTCCGTAAAAAATGCAATTCTATATAATTAGGATATTAAAGTAGCTATTAGTATTTTTTATGATGTTAAAAAATAAAAAAATTTGGTTAAACTTTTTGATACTTATTTAACACATAAAAAGTATTTTTTAAAAACAAATTTGGTCTTTTTTTCTCGACACATTAGGGAAGAAGGTTTTTACAGTACAAACGCTTTGGCAGCGCAAAAGGGGGCTATAATAGATTACAATGAGGCTCAAGCCCTCCCTGAGATCAATGTACTTAGGCTATTATACCGGACAGAGACAACCCAAGTGTTTTGCGCCGACTTGCACCCATTGCTCGGCCTCGTGTTTGATTACGGCGAGCAGCTGGTGAAGTTGGGTGGCGGCGTCACGGAAGCATCTCGCGTTCCTCTCCTTCCGCAGCTTCTAAGTAACTAGGGCGAAAACAGTGAATGCTCCTCGCCTATCGGGGCCGGTCCACATTGATCTCCAAGCGCCCCATCAATCGAAGATCATGTCTAAGTTGGGGAGGTCTTGCGGATGTCCTGAGCACCCCGAGAACGTTCCACCACACCTGCTTGCTGAAGGAGCAAGAGACGACGATGTGGTCTATGGACTCCGGCTCTTGGTCGCACAGGAAGCATGCCTCATTGGCGTCAAGACCGTGGCGACGTCGTCGGTCCACCGTCCAATGCTTCCGCCGCAGGGTGAGCCACAAGAATACCTTGACTCGAAGGGGCGCCCAGGTCTCCCATACCAGATTGCACCCTGGAATTGGGTGTGACGTTGAGTGGAGAGCTGCATATGCCGACTTGACCGTGGATTGGTTGTCTGTAGTCTATCTCTAAACCGTTCGATCCTCCGTGTCGCTAAGCTGCACGCCTTGTAGGTGACCCAAATCCGTAAGTACCGTTGAATGGCTGGAATGGACACCCCCCAGTTAGCTGCCGGATCCAGTTTCTGTGAGGCAATGCGTCGGCACAGCCTGTCGCTCGGTGAATCGCCTGGGCACAAGAGCGAAGAGCGCGGGAGCCATCGCATGAATGGCCCCTTGGATCCATTTGCCTGTCCAGAACGGCGTCTTCCTCCCATTGCCGATGACTGTGTACATGGATGCCTAGAAGAAGGCCAGGGCCTCCGGCGATGATTTAAGCGCAGAGTCGACCACGCCCTGTCCAAGTCCCTTTAGCGCAACCAGAGCCACTTCGCTTCGAAGGCTGTTCCTCGGGGAGCTTACGCTCGGACGGTCCGGTGAACAGTAGATTTTGGCTTTTGGCTGGTATGGGATGGTTGAATAGTATTCTTATGAAAGAGAATAAGTTAAAATAAGCCATAACTATACCAGCCGAACGCACTAAGTCGACAACGCCAAGACCCCCAAGCTCTGGGTCAAACCTGACATACTTTTTTTTCGAGAAATAGGCCTTGTTCAGTTCATCTCCTAAAGTTTACTTTCTATCTCATAGAATATTTAGACACATGCATAGAGTATTAAATATAGACTAAAAAATAACCAATTACACAGCTTACGACTAATTTGCGAGACGAATCTTTGAAGCCTAATTAGTTCATGATTTGATAATGTGGTGCTACAGTAACCCATGTGCTAATGACAGATTAATTAGGCTTAATAAATTCGTCTCGTGGATCACTGACGGATTCTGTAATTTTTTTTATTAATATCCGAACACCCCATACGACATCATCATATGACACCCAATGTGACATCAAAACTTTACGTCCTGCATTTAAATAAGGCCATACTTTAATATAACACTGTTTTAAAATTGTATGTTTTTTTAATGTAAGGAGTATGTTTTTTTAAATATGGAGGAAGTGACTTCGAATTTGTATATTTAAAGCAAACACCACAAAATTCCTAGGACACAACAATGTGCTTTTAAGGAAACACACTGAATCCTCAATTTTTTCACGCACCCTCTCGCTTGGAAGGCTGAAACTGAAACTTCCCACTCGCTTCGTACAGTCGAACTGCTCCAGTGCTCGCCATGGCGAGCATGGGAAGCAGCTCTACGGCGTCCGCGCCCTCTCGGGTCCCCGGCGAGGTAGAGACGCGCACGAAACCCTGGCCATCTCCAAGGTAGCAGAGGCCACCAATACAGTTGCCGCAGCCGCAGCGACGAGCGCCCGCGAGGTGGTCTGCGACTCTGCGTACTCCACGCCATCAGCGCCCTTCTCTCCCCCTTCGACTCGTCCGCTGTCGCCGCTCGCCGCCTCGCCGGTGAGGCGCCGAGGCCTAACTTCACCCAACCGCGTCTTCCTATCTCTCATTCGACCACTTGGATGTCTCTCATGCGTGTCGTTCGCTTGCACTTCCTGACTGCTGGTGCCGTCTTCAGGAATCAGGAGTCAGGAACTCAGTTGAGATTCTTTGAAGGTTATATTTTTATTCTTTGGAGCCAAATTATGTTTTTTTTTCTTACGATTTTTTTTGCTTGCTAGGAAATTTGACTGACTGAAGGGGTTTGTGGAAATCAGGAAGTCTGTTTTGGCTTGTGGTTGTAGACTTGCAGGAATAGCATGCCAAAATGGTTTCATTGGTGCATTGGTTCTATCTTTAGATCATAAGAAACCAGATATGCAACTGAGATTGGAGAAATTATGTTCTGAAATAACATTGTATACTAGATTAAATGTGCTACAAGGTATTTGTCAACTTATTACATAAATCCTATCTATTAATACATGCCCAAAAAAATTCTTGCTGGTGGCTTTCTAAAAAAAAACTTATTACATAAATAATTCTGCAATGGGTTATCACACAAGCTGTTATTGAAACATCTTAGGTCAGAACTCAAAAGTAGTGATACATAGTTATCGAATGTTGAAGCCTGTGTCTTTGGATAAAACATTCATGAGAGAGCACTCTGTTCTAATTTTGGGAGATAAATTAGTGAAACTTTTCAAACAGATGTGCTTCTTTATTCAAGAAATTGGACTTCAGAACCATGGATAGCTTGGAGAATTTATCGTTTTCTTATTTTCTATATTTTGAGATTATTGAAGCCATAAGCCTCAGCATTAATTAGAGAGAGTCTTGAGGCGTGCCTCTCATCATGGTCCAGAATTTCCTTTTATGTCTAAGATGTTGTTTGGCAGTATGTATACACCTCAAATTTCTCACTGTATAATGCAATAGTATTACATTTTACATGTACTAGTTACCCCACTTGCTTCTAAGTATCTACACACAATTAATGGTAGCTGCCACCGCCAACTGCAATCTCATAGTGCCATGCTTTATTTGTTACCTGTCATCAGCTACAGCCTCATGGAATGCATGATTGTTTCGTTTGCAATGGTGGAATCAACAGACAATTGACTTTTGCCATTAATCAAAGGCAAGCTTCTAGTTCTAGAGCTACTTAGACACTTCTATTCAGATAAAATTTCTTTGAAGTGTGAATGTTCATCTCCAATTTCATTTTGTATCCACTGTGCCATTTATGGAAAGCAACAGATCTCTGCAGCTAAAAGTGTTTACTGGATCCTTCTGAGAGTTTCTGTCCATTGTGCTAGAGTGTCTTGTATTCATAATTGTGTCGTGAACTCTTGCTGTCTGTTGTCCTTAGCTGGTTGTTCAATTAGATAATCTACATATCACTTCTGTTTACAAAAAGCCTATACGTGGTTTCATTATTAAATTTGAAGAAAGCCTAAGGTTTGTTTTACACCGGTTTGTTGTCCTCGTTGACTCTTTGCAGCAATTTTGTTGTTATGCTTCCAAAAAAACATCTAGAATTTTCAACACATTTTAATCAGTTTGTCGCTTTTTTATTCTTGGGCATTTCTTTACACTCTATAATCCATCCTTCCACTTTCGTTGCATGATGTTGCCTTGCAGTGATTATAGAAGATTTATGCCTCTACAAGGAGAGGAATTTATGATTTAGTTTTTGTTGAAGGACCTTCAACTTGAAATGATTCAACTCTTGTTCTAGATTTATCCCGAAAAGAAGATTATAAGATAAATTACCAGACTTTTTGCTTGAATGGTGAAAGCTGTTATTCGTAACAAATCTTCTACAGCTTGGTATTAGAACTACAATCTGTTGTACTTTATGAGGCATTACACCATAAAACATGCTCCATGGTTCATCTTCAAGGGCTTGAGTGCTTGACAAGTGTCATGCCTTTTCTCATTTAGCCTGTGGAGGATGCACTGTTGTTCATCCTATTATTTGTTCAATGCATGCAAATGGAAGAGCAAAAGCAACTGGGGCACATTTTCATCTTATATTTAGTGATTTCTGCTACTATATTTGGAACTTTTACTTCCATGCGGGGTATTCCTTTTTCTCTTGCCTGACAACTATCTTTTGAATTTATATTTGATACTTAAAATTTTTACCCATTTTAGACCACTTATTCTATGTCTGCTTACTTATAAGGCAGTTTTCCAAATCGTTCAATAGTTTACTAGTTCATGGTGATGACATTCTCAACCCAGATAGAGCAATACTCATTTCAAGGCTTGGACCTTGGACAACTACTTGCATCCATTCCAGATAAAGCAAGATTGGGAGCTTCATCTGCACTTATATCACTGTTTTCATTTTTTTAATCTGTAATATTTACTTACTAAACAACTAATCTGAGATCTTACTATATTTGATCATTTCATCTCTATGGCATGTTATGTTGAGTCAAAGATTATAGTTTAAACAGTGGGTTTGGTCCTCTTCTCTTTTTTTAATTTATTTATGTACCTGTTGTTTTCAAACTCAATTAATGTTTTCACTTCTACTTGTACTGTTGAAACCTTAACAGACACCAAGATACTTCAAGGATGTTGTCAGTCTACTTGTACATCATGCCTCAAGAATGGTGTATGGCCTTTCAACCAATGGCCATTCAACACGGTAAATATCATCTTCTGAGTGGTTTTTAAGCATCCAGCTGTTAAAAAGGTTGATATCTCCTGAATGGTCTTTAAGCATCCAAATGTTAAAAAGGCTGGTAACAAATATTTCTTGGATAGTGAGCATGTAGTTTGTAAAAGATGTGGATATGATATGGAAGACTTGGCTGTTTTGTTTTTGTCCAGACACATGCTTTGGTGTTGAACGTGATAGATTTATCTTTGATTAGTTGTTTGGGGGCCAATTCTTTAAGTTCTCGTAGCACCAATTCTTTAGTTATCTACTGCACAAAGGCAAGGTATTATGAGCATTATTGCTATGTTCTCTTTGCATTTAGTTCTTTCTTTCCTACATTTGTTTGCTTTTCTTACCATAGGCTTAGGGCATGTAGGTTTTGTTGTTGATGTTCCTGACCCTGTTAATTTGAGCCATTTCTTCACAAGTTATTGACTTTGTTATATACTTCAGTTTGGATCTTTTTTCCCCAGGAATATGGATCTGAAGGAAGCACGGCATGTGTGGTTCTTATCAGAGACAATCAGATTATTGTGGGAAACGTTGGTGACTCCCAGTGCTTACTCTCTGTGAACGGACAGGTATTTTGACTATTTTCTTGTCAAATTTCTTGCTGGTACCTAATTTAGCATTCTCTTTTGTCATAACGAATGCACACAAGTGGAGCCTAAAATATTGCTTATTTCCATTGTATCTGAAGACAATGGTGTTGACCCACAGTCATGTACCATGTGATGTGGATGAAAGTGAGAGGATTCAGTTCAGTGGAGGATATTTGATCAATGATTGGTGGAAGATCAGAAATCCTGAGCACAGGGCAGGAGGACTAGTAGCACTAAACAGCCCTCCTTTTGTGACACTACCTATATCAAGATCAATTGGTATATTTTTTGTCTGAATTCTTTCTGGATGGTTGCACACAATTTTTTGCACTATAATTGGTGTGTTGCACATTATTGTTAGGTGATTCTGTGTTTAAGCAGAACAAAAGTTTGCTTCCTAAAGATCAAATGGTGACTTGTGAATCTAGGATGAAAACTGTAAGTGTAACTGAGTTTTATTATGAAAGTCATTTGCTGTTTATGTATTGTGATATGATTGAATATGACCTTGTTGGCAGGTGGAGATTACTGAGGATACTGAATTTCTTGTTATAGCAAGTAATGGGATATGGTAAGTTCTCCCGTAAAAATAACTGAGATGTTTCCTTGTATTATTGTACTTGCTCCCTTGTCCAAAATTCCATGCATAATTCATCTTCTCCATATGACAGTTATTTTGTTTGCTCTTGTGTTTTGCTTTACCTGCAGGAAGTGGTTGACACATGAGCGCATCGCCCAGAAGATTCGCCCATATCTCTTAGAAGTGAGTCTCCTGCCTCTCTGCTTGTTTTCAATTTGGGTTGTCGCCTATTTCATTGACAGATGGCACGATTGTGTATAGGGGGAGACTGATTTGCGCTTTCTCTTAGAAGTGAGTTTCCTGCCTCTCTGCTTGTTTTCAATTTGGGTTGTCGCCTATTTCATTGACATAAGGCACGATTGTGTATAGGGGGAGACTGATTTGCGCTTTATCTGCAAGCAAGTTTGCATTGCTGCTGCTAATAGTTGTGTAATGAGGGACGATATGACCATTATTCCGGTTCAGTTTAAGATAGATGCCAAGTCAACCGAGAACAAGGATCATCGCAAGGACGATTTCGAGGCCGAGGATCCCAACCCGACATGCAGGGAGCGCCAGATGACGAGCTCCAGCCACTCTTACCTGCATCGTAGATCTTAGCTCCCGGATTGATGGGCCGTGAAGGGGGCGGATGATGGGAGGTCACTTTCATTTTGTTGGGAGGATTGAACACAACTCTGGAATGATGCCCGTGTTCTGTAGACGAGGATGTTTGTAGTTTTTGGACCCTGAGATGGTCTGAGCATTGAACTACTACTTGAGCCTCGTTTAAATACTAGGTCTAAAGTTTTGGGCTGTCACAGCGAGGGTTAAATAGATGTGTCGCATAGGGTGTTCGGATGCTAATAAAAAAATAAATTACAGAATCCGTCAGTAATCCGCGAGACGAATTTATTAAGCCTAACTAATACATTATTAACATATGTGTTACTGTAGCACCACGTTGTCAAATGATAGCCTAATTAGGTTTAAAAGATTCATCTCGTAAACTAGTCGTAAACTGTGTAATTAGTTATTTTTTAGTTTATATTTAATATTTTATATATGTGTCAGATAGAGAGTAAAATGTAGTGGGAGAAACTAAAGAAGGCACCTGTTTTGGACCTAGGTATGGCGCATTCGACACCTTGAATTCACCACCTATCACGACGGCTGCAAATAAAGCTGGGGTTCTGTACTTCTGTGCTGTGTGGCCTATCCAGCCGACAAAGTTTGTGTTTCTCCCCCCGTTTCTCTCTGCTCCTGAGCACGCCCGCCCGCCGGTAAGTCGAGAACTGCGGTGGCAGGCGTAGCCAATGTGTGTGTTTCCTCTTTCGTGCACTTTGATGACGAGGTGGCTGGTTCGGACCGCAACCTCGTCAACGCGTTGTACAAATCCCGCCTTTTGAAGGGAATTCAGCTGCAACTCCATATACAAATCTCATAACTATGTTGTACAGGCACTCTCTTTCAAACTTGAAAGAAATGAAATCGAATATACAGCTGTAACCTCACCCGATTTTTTGTATTTAGTGAGAAGGAACCAGACACATCAGATGCAAGGAGGTTACACACTGTCCCTTAATAAAAAAAAATCCTGAGACATCAAATTACAGAGCAACTCTGGCACTTGGCAAAATGGTGCTTCACTTATTTGACGACCCCAGCCATTTGCTGAGGAACAGAATGACTTCTCCGTCTCTGCAAGATGTAAACCAGAAGCCATCGTGATCAGATCAGAAGTTCGATGACTACAGGGAGTCAGGGAGGGTGAGGATATAAGCGTTACACAAATAAGCAATGCTGTATTGGTGAAAGTCAAAGCAGGGCTTCAGTAAGTCAAAGCAGTCTTACTGATGCCCTAGAGTTTATAGAATGTGCTACATAATGTACAGCTGAACTTCATTATCCTTAAGTTACTAGTTTGACAGTCCGGTGCCCTTTTGACCTACATAATGTGCTTTGATACACAACACGTACAGAGAGTTCAGTTGAATATGATGCAATCCATATCCGCACTGTACAACCACACACACTTTCAAACCTCCCAGCAATCAAATCAACATACAGGTGTAATCCCTCTATTTCAAATTATAATTTGCTTTAGCTTCTCTAGGTATGTAGATTTTATTATATAGGTAAACAACGTATATCTAAATGCATAACAAAATCTATATATTAAAAAAAACAAAACAAAGAATAACCTTCATCCCTTCACCGAATTTTGTGAAATTTAGTGAGAAGGCAGGCAAAACATATTAGTCGCAAGAAAGCTACACGCTGTACGTAGATTCTCAAAAGAAAAGTTACACGTTGTCTCTTTGCAAAGATTTGGAAGCTGGAGAAATTACAGAGCAGCTCTAGGACATGGATAGCGAAACTGCAGCCGATGCTTTACTTGTCTGACAATGTGCTGAGTGACTGAATCATTTCTCCGTCTCTGAAAGATGTAAACGGGAGATCACGTGATTAGATCGCTAGCTACAAGAAGGATGAAGATAGGGTTTAAACAAGTGACACTGCAATAGTGAAGCAGTTTCTGCGTACTTACTGAGGCCCTCCTTTGACTTCCGCTGCTTCTTTCGTCTCTTGGAGCGGAACTTCTCTTTGCTTTCTGCTTCCTCTTCCTCTTTGCTGACAGCAGACCCTGTTATCTGCGCAAAGGATTCTTTGGCGCCAGCAGTTACATCGCCAAAGAAGTCCTTCACCTTGTCGACCACAGTTTTGAGCTCGTCTTTCTTTGGAAGCTGAGATAAATAATCTTACTGTTAAGGACTAGCCAGTAATCCAGGATATTCAAAACATGTAAATGCAAACATTTGCTACCATCTCCGTCTGAAAGCATATGTAATTTAGTTTTGTCCACTAATGGGGCTTCAACTAGAATAATGTCTATGGAATTGTGACAGAACTCGAGAAAAATTAAGGAAACATACTTCAATCACATTGCTTGTCGTCAGAGCAGACCTTATGTTCCCTTTCTCCTGTTCATGTAAATAACAAGTAAATGAAATTGGCCAATTCAAAACTTCCTCAAACAACCAAAGCTTCTGCGATTAAGTTTTGAGGAACTACCACAACTTTGTAGCCATACCGAAACTCATTTTCGGTCTTCAGCACCCGGTACTGCTCTTTTGCTGTGTCTATAATCTCATCCTCATCCTTTCCATACATACATTGGAATACACAGCAAAAGGATTGAGATGTTAATTATTAGCACCAGTAAAACAATTCAGTTGTTAATTATTAGCACCAGTAAGATTTTCTGCAAGAACAAGTGTGTGGCCATGTGGATGCCTACATATGGTCTACGCAAATACTAGTAAAATTGGATGGCCATTAAGAATGTGTGAACTATGAAGCAAAGAGCTGTTGATCGTTGATTACTTTGTAAATGACGGCGGCGAGGTTCCTGGCGAGCGTGTCCTTGTAGATGTACTTGCCGAGGAAGTTGTCCTTGGCGGCGAGCATGATCTTCGCCGTCGTACCGCCCGTGATGATGTTGAGCGGGTACCAGAAGTAGACCTGCGCTAAACAAAAATCACAAATCTGAAATCTTGGTCGTGCGCCATCGAATTTGCAGAACGGAACCAAATGGAACAGCAGCTAGAGCTAGTCACGGACATTGGCGGTGCGGATGAAGATGACGAATCGCGGGTTGCCGTCGTCCTCGATTTTCGGCAGCTGCGGCATGCGCCGCTGCTGCTGCATCTGCCGTTCTGACCAGCTCCTCCCGCGGGCCTCCACCACCAGCGCGCGCCTCGCCGGCAGCTGGCTCCGCGGCCTTGCGGGCCTGAGAACGAGGCGTCCGCCTACGTCGACGGATGACAGCGTAGTCCGGATACGCGCCGTCGGTGGCGACGGCCTCAGCGACACGCCGCCCACCACCTCCATGGATGCGGGACGGGATCCCTCTCTGCTGGGCTGGCGCGGGTGTGTTCCTTCCAGTTGTAGGGGACGGGAGAAGATAAGCAGCTTGCAGGCTTGCAGCTTATCTGGTGGTCGGGGGCTGCTGAGTTGGTTACTGATGTCTGGGTCCACGGAACAGAAGTGGGCCCCGAGTGTCAGTGTAAGCTCTGGTGTTTCTGCGGCTCTCTCTGTTCTTGGACTGGGGACGTTTTCGCTCGTAGCATACCTGAACAGGTTTTTTTTTTCAGCTCGCGTGGACGTCCAGATCGATGCCCGCGCAGCCCGTCCCAATCCGCCATCGCTCCACCCTCGTCCAGATTCGCCTCACGCGCACACTCCGCTGCATATCTGTGCCGCCGGTCATTCCCTGGGCTCGCTCCTCTCTCTTCGCGCGGGCAGCACTCGAGAGCCGGGACCCAGCGTGCCCTCGACCGGAGCACCCGTCCGCCCGTCGCCAGCGCCCCCGTCTGAAAAATTACAGCTACAAAAAAAAAAAAAAAAAAATCAACTACTCAAAAGACAGACCAACAGAGCTTGGACAAGAGAGAGACTAGCAAGTTGCCGTTGCACACAAAAATAAAACACCTGCAGCTCCAGCCACTGGGGAAGAACGGCAACCGAGCATAGAAAGCTAGCAGAAATATGCAGATCAAAAGGTGCTGTGGAATGCATGCACGAATGTGACCACAGGCTAGTACGATTTAGTTACTGAGTCTGCTATAGCAGAGAAGCATTTACAACTTGAGCAAAATTTGGCAGCTGAAGACTAGCTGTTCAAAGCTCATGAACTTGCAGTCTACAGTAAAAATGCAGATCATAGATTGCCAACCAAGATTTTTTGAAACACTAGAAAAGATACTTGCATGCTACATACTGTTTTGCAGAAATCAAATGGCAACTAGATGGCATACTTGCATACGACACCTAATGCTTCAAATCGTCTAACCGATCCTAGTCACCAAGGGATCAATCGAGACGATTAGTAGGCTCACTAGGCTAAACCTGGTTCCAGCAAGTCAATATGGGGTTATTTGGTTGTTTGTATTATATAAGTCTGGCCAGTCTCGTAGCGTGTTTAGTTGCCTGGTTTGTTTTACAGTCAACTCTTCTCCGAATGTAAGTTTATCCCTTTTTGAGAGATCTCGTCGAACATGTGGTGGGCACTGGGCGAGCAGCAGCAGCACACGGCGGTAGCAGGGCGAGCAACGGGCGGCAGCAGGGCGAGCACGACGAGGCCTGAGGCGGACCACGATGCCCGTCGAATCGCGCCTCCGCTGGCGTCGTCCGCTTGAATCGCGCACGGCAGCAGCTCGTTCGCGGCAGTGAGGTCGCCGCGGCCGGCCACGACGAGCTCGTTCGCGCTCGTGGCTTGCCCGGCGTCGCCCTCCTCCGCTGGTAACCTTCCAGCGACAGTGAGGTCGCCGCGGCCCGGCTCGTTCGCGCTCGTGGAGAAGCATCGTGGCGCGGCCGGCTTGTCCTCCTGCCGAGCTCGGCGCCGGCATGGCCTAGCCTGCCGTCGAAGTCCTTCCCAGCCTGACCAAGCAGACAGCGGCGGGGAAGGGAAAGCCGCCGCGGGGGCCGCCGGCGCAGAAGGGGACGAGGAGGACGTCGATGTCGAACGGGATTCGCTTGTGCAGCGCTGGAGGCCACGGGGAAGAGGAGCGACGCGGCTCAAGCATGGCACCGGAGGGAGGGAAGACGCACTGAGATCGGGAGGACGGGAGGTGACGAAACTCGCCTCGGATACTGGCTCGGGCCTGGCTCCGCATAAACGATCAGCCTCTGCGTTTTCTGGTAGCCGGGCTAACTCGCCTTGGGGGCCTGGCCAGGAGGCTTGTGCAGCCAACTAAACAGGTTTAAGTTGGCTCTAGCAAACCTAATTAGAGATAGCTAAGGAACCAAACAAACCTTATGAAAGTGTCGATGTTGTTCTCACTTCGTCGCGGACTCGTGTACTCAAAAGTCAAAAACGAAATGGAGTAGAATTTTTGGGATCTGTTGCTGTGATAACCTAGGATATAAATACGGAGTAATAATAATAAATAAAATAGTAAGCACGTGCATACTCATCAATGATGTACGTATGGGCAAAACCGTATGGTCCACACATAATTAACTACTATTACCAGTAGCAGTAGTACTATTTTTAACCGTTCGTACGGAGCATAGAGTTGTGGAGCATACCATCGGCTGCATGTAACCACATGATGAACCACGTCGCTTCGGGGAAGGGCATCGTGTATTTTGAGCCTCTTCTATTTCTCGAGTAACACATATCTTTTTCAGCCCTTTTATTCTATTTATTCAATATTCAGGCCCATGCCGTATATATGATCGGAGCGTTCATCCGTGCCTTTTCTGTGTGCCAGGTGAAACTCGCGCGCCGTGCGTCTACTACAGGGCACTGCTCATGATGTGACTTGAGCCACGATGAGATTTGCAAGACCTGCGCCGTGCGTCTTTTTTCTCTACAGGGCATAGATAAAAAATAATTAATTGCTCATGATCACGTGACTTTTGAGCCACGATGAGATTAAAATATCTTTGATGTGTCGGATTGTAAAAATTTGCAATCTAAACACGGCCCTGAGATGAATACATGCGTGGTGGGATTGGATCTGGATCAATTATGGGTTTGGCTGTCTTGTCGTGTCTCTGAAAACGTAAAGAGGAAACGTCAGCCGAGTTTGGTTGGGGTAGCTGGAAAGAGCTAGAAGTTTATTCCCTCTTCGTCTTGAAAAGAATATATAATTCTTATTTTTTGAGAAGTTCAACGATTTTAATTATAATCATATCTATACAAAAAAGTACTACCATTTTTTATATCAAATAAATATTATTAGATTGATTATAAAATGTATTTTCATAATAAATCTATTTGGAGACATAAATATTGATATTATTTTCTTTAAAGTGCATCAAACTTGAGAAATTTTGATTAGTCTTAAACCTATAAAATTGCTTTTTCTAGAGATGGAGGGAGCAACATTTTGTTTGTTTTCTTGGGAGCAGTGGAGTTTTGGTGAGTAAGAGAATACAAATTTAGAGTACAAACTATCACAAACACTTTCAGGGGTGGTATTTTAGTGGAAGCTATGCTTTTAGTAAAAAATAGGAATTTTCTCTTATTATTAAACCTCCCACTTATTTCCTCTTTACGAATGAAAGAGATTCTGATAAAATGAAAGCAGGGTTGGTCATGGTAGCCGCCTAGGGGGGCAGCAGGCAGGTCAGGTCAACAAAAGCGGGCCGGGACTGGAGTGGAGACGGACGGAACGGAGGCCGCCGGGGGGCCGGCGCGAGTCGGCGGGTATAAAAGCGGCGGAGGGAAAGGGAAGCCAGTGGCGCAGCGCAGTGCGATCCCTCCCTCCCTCCATCCATCATTACAAATCCCTCCTCCCCTCTCCCCCCTCCCTTCGTAAATCGCAAAGTCAAATCTCACCTTGCCAGAGGCTGCCGCCTACTCCGCTCCGCGCTGCGCCTCTCCACAGCCTCAGTGGCTGCTGCGACCCTTCTGTTCTGCGTTCTTGGGTGATCGCCGGAGGGTAAGCGCCGTCCGTTCCGACTCTGAACTCTGAAGGGTCGTCTTCTTGTGCCTGGGACTGGGAGCCTGGTCTCTGTCAGTTCTCCTTCAATCCCGTGCGTTTATGTTTCTGTGGATCTGCCCGCCGTAGAGTCTTCTCTCGATGCCTACTTGTTCGCGGGTTATGATTTTAGTTTACTTTTCATTATTCGGAGTACCTTTAGGGTTAAAGAACTGCCTGCAGTAGAAATCGTTTAGTTCATCTTCAGGGATCGTGTGATTGTTGGTTGTTGCGGCTGCTCTGTTCCTAGGAGTGGTTGGGGATGATACTTTTGTTAATAAATAAATAAAAAACAGCTACTTTAATCTTGTATTGTAGTCTGCGAGATCTCTTCATCCTCTCGTCTCCTTTTTCTACCGTAACTTTCTGATGTATAAGAGATCATTAATGATATATCATATATGTTTGTTAATTTCTTCTTTTATAGTGACTTAATAATATATTCTTTGTACCTCTGATCGGCAGAAACATTTTCTCACACGTTGTAGTCATTAATTACTCATGCAATCCTCTCATTGTTTTTCCTTCTCTTAGAATTCACTGCCAAAATCTGGATCCAAACAAATCCGTTAATGTTTATTAAAAATAAGTTGTACTCATAAAGCTGTGCATTTTGACTTCAGATTTCAGATAGAACTTTTTGTAATTCCTCCCCGTTGCAGTTGTTATGTTTGGTTATTCTTGTTTAGTTTGTGTTCTTTTGAGTGAATGGTCTAGTTGTTTGGTTAGCGTGTGTTTAGTTTTCCTCTGCGGCAAGCTTGTTGAGTTGTTTTTTAGTTGAGTAGATTTTATCTCACAGTTGTAAGGTTTTTCGTCCCAGTTTTCCCTCAAAAACTGGTCCAATCTCTTCTAATAATATCAATAACAAAGCTTTTGCTGTCCTTTAAAAAAAAGAATATAAACTCATAGGAGCATATATTGATAATTAATAGCCCATCCAGTGTTAATGGATAAGCTACATAACAGATATATTGATCTGGGTCCCCAGGAATTACTCTCTACTATATTTGGGGACAACTTCTCTAGATTTCATTTTTTAATAAAAAACTAGAATTCAGATTTTTTTTTTTTACTTTAAAAGTAGTATCTTCAGTATAAACTGACTATCAACTTATCAATCACAATAGTCCTTGCCATCATGACCAAACAGTACACCTTTTATTATCCTTTTTTCTGTTCTGTTCTGTTCTTTGTAACAAATTTTCCTGTTAGGATGTCTTCTGCAGTGATTTTCTTCATTAGCATTGCATATACCAAATTTGCTGGATAGATTCTAAATTAGTTAGTTGATCATACAAAATGTGTGATTAATAGTACCTTCTCAGCCTTTGTAGGTTTTTATCTGACAGAAGAAGAAAACTATACAATTCATCATGTCGGGAGGGTCGTCTGAATCTTCCC